TTATATACATACCCGGGGGATATAATTCAGGATCTAGCGCCCCCAATAGGCACACTAGTGGATCAGATGGAATGGGAGTTTGGGTGAGGGAAGATAAAATACGCAGAACTTCCTCCCAATATCTTGTAAGTTTCAGGCATCTCTAAATCGTGGATAAAGTCACCTCTATGTGCAGTACATTCAGGGCATAGTGGCTTATCTCTCCTACCCCATTCAAACAATCTAACAGGTGTCTGGTATGCCCTGTGAAGGATAAATAATTGCGAGAGCTTATGAGAGGCCAAACGGGAGTAGACAGGTACTCATTTCAAAGCCATTTCCCATTGATCCCCTCTTATTTCTCCTATATCCTCCGCCCATTGGGCTCTGCATTTCAAATTCACAGGGTCCTGAGTAGAGGAGAGTAATACCTTGTAAATATGAGATATCAGACCGTTGCATAAGGAAGCCTGTAACACTTCAGTCAGTAATCGGGAGGTAGACCTAGTGAGAGATAGAGTCTGCTTCTAGGCTTGTATCGCATGTCTGAGCTGGAGATATTTATAAAAGTGCTTATGGGTAGCGAAAACTACCTGCTCAACTGTTCATAGGACTTAAGGTGAGTATCTGAAAACAATTGAGTAAGATAGACAATACCCCTGTGTCTCCATTCTGAGAATCCCTCTAGTTTATTTAATTCTGGGTACCTAGGGTTATTCCATATAGGGGTGGAGCCTATAAAACCTGAGATGGCTAGCACCGCATGGAAGGCAGCCCAGACCTTCAGTAGGAGGACGCCAGTGGGACAGGAGGGAGAGCTGGGAGGTCCATATCCAAATGAGAAACAGGCAGTAAGTCAGGATTATGGACAGTGACCAGTCTGGTAATCGGATCCAGATTGTCCTGGTGGCACCACCCAACAAGCTGCTGGAGTTGGGCAGCTAAAAAGTACCATTTAGCATGTGGAACAGACAGCCCCCCTTATCTTTACGATACTGCAGGGTAGTCATACTTATCCAAGCGGTACCCCTCTTCCAAAATAAGAGCCCTAAATTGGTAGACTACCCGCTTGAACCACTTCTGTGAAATCCACATGGGGGAGTTATGAAAAATGTATAGGAGTTGAGGGGCCCAAATCATTTTAATAAGGTTAACTCTCCCCACCACAGATAAAGGTAGTTTACACCAACTTTGGCCCTTCTGTCTATCTAATAATGGTTGTAAGTTCAGTTGGAGGTAGGTAGAAGGGTCTGGAGAGATCACCACACCAAGATATTTGAAGAACTTAACAATCAGAATTTATCTAGCCCACATAGGCAGAGGAGAGGACACTGGGTCCAGGTAACATAAGAGTAGATTTCATCCAGTTTTTTGTAAAGCCTGAGAAATTACCAAATTTAATAATGGTCTCCATTAAGGTTTGAATGGAGTCAGCCACATCCCCCAAATATATTAGCATATCATCTGCAGAAAGAGATATTTTATCTTCCATGCAGCATCTGCGGAACCCTACAATAGAGGGGTGCCTGCAAATCAGGATTGCCAAAGGTTCCACCACCAATGCAAATAGAAGGGGGGATAGAGGACAACCCTGACGAGTGCCCCTATATAATGGGAAGGTAGGGGAAAGCATATTATTAATATATGTAGTCTAGCACGTGGGGCAAAGTACCTGCACCCAATTTACAAAGTACTCCTCCAGTCCAAACCGCTTAAAAATTTCCCAGAGATAGGGCCACTCAACACTGTCAAAGGCCTTGGCCTTGTCCAAAGATAGCTCTTTCCTGGATTATCTACAGGTACCTGCAAACTGGGAAACAAACGTCTAATATTATTAGCGGTCGACCTAGAGGGGATAAATCTGGACTGGTCCAGATGCATCAGCTTGCTTATCACCCGAGAGAATCTAGTGGCAAGAGCTCTTGCAAGGAGTTTTACATCTGTATTTAGCAAAGAAATAGGTTGATAGGAATCAGTGTGTAGCCTATCTTTCCCAGGTTTTGGGATCACCACAGTTATAGCTTCTTTCATCGAATCTGGAAGATCCCCAATGTCCAAGGCCTCCTTTAACACTCGATGTAAATATGGAAGAAGAACCTCTCCATATCTACTGTATATTTCAGCTTGGAGCCTGTCAGATCCCGGATATTTATTAGTACGGGCAGTGTCCAAGGCCTCTGTAAGCTTTTCGATAGTTTTAGGGGAATTCAATTTATCTACATCAGAGACAGATAACACTGTTCAACAAATGTTTATTTTTTGCCAGTTTTGGAAACAAAAGGATCCATTTCTTAATGAATTTCACATTCTGAGTTCAAATATAACAATGAAATTTGTCAATTGGCTCTAGTTTTTCTGTAAACGGAGAGTTTTCTACTATAGGCGTAATGACTACATAATGCACAATAATTATATAGATAGATGTCTTTCCACAAATATAAAGCAAGTGATATTGACTACATAACAAAGCCTAAATGGCATAATATATTGCATAGGATTACCAAGAAAAATTATAGCCATAAGCTAAGTTGAATCATTTTAATACTTAGGATTCTCACTAGTTTTGTCTTCAGTTTGTGTCGGTTTTGCTTCTCTTGGCTTTTCTCTTGTATTCGAGGAAAGGGCTATCTCTTACAACTGCACGTGACTACACGCTTCAGGTTCTTCCTCACTTGACTCAACCACGAAGGATTCTGGTGCTTTAGGAATTGGTAGCCCCTCTCCATGAGGAACTGGACGTATTGCCGATGGAATATTTGGATAGTGCACAGATAACTTTTTCTTCTTTTTACAATTGGAGGCACCATACAAAAGTAACAATTACTAACATGATCTGTTGGCTCTCTCCAAATCATTGGCACAGCGAAAGGCATAGATGCCTTTTTTCCATTCAACCATTGCTCCAGTGCCGTCCCACAAGAATTGCAGCATATATGTGGTGCCCAGCTCTTGTCCTGGTCTCCTATCTTGCAGCCAAAATACAAGTTGTAGGCTTTCTTAATCATTCCTGTTATCCTCCTTTTTTGTGAGATAAAAGTTATTTCACCGCAGATATAGCAGAAATTATCTGCTTTATTCACACAAGTTCGAGGCATTACTGAGTAGCCTATATAAGCATAAAACGAAATGTAAAGACGCTGTCGAACTACAATCAGCTACAGATACTGCAGCTTTTATGCAGTGAAGTGATGCAATTAAAGGCTAATATTGCATCATCTCAGTATACATGCAATTTTCTATTGGTCACCAGTATCAATTGCGCAATATGCAGCTGAAGTTGCATCATAATTTTGAATGGCTTACGTCATTAGATGGGTGAATATATCATGGAAACTAGAGCCAATCAACATTTTTTAGGGTCATTTCGTTTTCAGCACCCCAAAATTATGTAAGATTAGCTAATTTTATGCCCAAAACTTTTTACCTGTTGAACAGTGTAATTGAGGAAAGGGGCAGCTATCTAGAAAATTCTCTAACACTGCAGTTGTGGCATCAGTCTTAGACACATAGAGCTTAGTGTAAAAGTGGTGAAACATATCAATAATAGCAGTATTAGACGTAACTACTTCTCCAGTGGCCGAGGTAATGCATCAATAGAAGAAGTGTCTCGTTGAGCCCGTGCCACCAGAGCCAAAAGATGACCAGTATATTCTCCCCTTCCTCAAAATAATTCTGTAGAAAATAGCGCTTCTTTTCCGCTGCAGAAAATACTACCCTATTATACAAGGATTGTGCTTCTGCCCATTGTTGCTGAGTGGTAGGGTTACGATTGGCTACTAATTCTATCTCCCTACGCTGAACCTCTGTACGAACCGTATCCTCCCATTCCCAGGATTTACGTTTAATAGTAGTGATCTCTCATATAAGTAATCCTCGAATGTACGCTTTAAACATGTCCCAGAGGATAGCTGCAGAAGCAGAGCCAGTATTAAATGTAAGGAAGTCAGTCAAAGATTGGGGAAGGGGGTCAAATGTTGGGAAGAGAGTCAGCCAAAATGGATTAAGTCGCCACAGAGAACGGGTGGACAGCATAGAGATCGATAATCGTACCCAGAATGGAGAGTAGTCCAAGAGGAGGCGGGGTTCATATGCTTAATCTCCTATATGGGGTATTAGGGCAGAGTTACCTAACCACAAATCTATGCAGGGCAATAACCATCATGAGAGGTTGAGTAACATGAGTAATATTTAAGATCTGCATGCTTTTCCCTCCACACATCCCTCAGACCTAGTTCAATAAGATGGTTAGCGAAGAGTGTACGCCGAGCAGCTGAGGGCGTATTCCGCAGAGTGAGAGATAATTTATCCAACATGGGGTTCAAAAAATTATTGAAGTCCCCCAAAGCTAGGACTGGTACATCTGGATATGGAGCTATAAATTGAGCAAGATTTTTCAAAGACTCTGACGAGAATGGGGGAGGGATATACATGGCAGCAAATGTACATAGAAAACCATTCAATTTACAAACTAGAAAAACATATCGACCCATTTCGTCAATCTGTTGCTTCAGACGCACAAATGAGATTGTTTTATATCAATACACTAACTCCTCGGAGAAAGAAGAATACGTAGGGTGAAACTGGGTAGGAAATTTCTGAGATCGCAACAGATGGACAGAATCGGGCTGTAAATGAGTCTCTTGCAAACATATTAACTGGGGGACCGCCACTCTGGAATGCTTTTCATGTCCAGTGACTAACTGATTTATAGCTTTACGACCAGGCCAAGGCAAGAGTCTGACAGACATCATGGGACCAGCTAATTGGGTTTACAACGATGAAGCGTATCCAGCTGTGACTGAAGCACTTGTGACCCCAGCATACACACACACACCACATGCCATTCAAAAAAAAGGGAGGGGTAAGACTGAACAGAGTGAGAATGACATTTGCAGAGTATGATACAAAATATGGTTGTCATTGTCCATATCTGTACGCACAATTATCACAAGTGCCGCCTATCAGTGTGTATCAGTGCCGCCTATCGGTGCCCGTCAGTGCTGCCTATTAGTGCTGCCTAACAGTGTCAGTTAGTGCCACCTAACAGTGCCATCAGTGCCACCTATCAGTGTCCATCAGTGCAGCCTATCAGTGCCCATCACTGAAGCCTCATTAGCGCACATCAGTGAAGGAAAAAAATCAGTTATTTACAAAATTTTATAAAAAAAACTAAGAAAGCTTTTTTTTTTTTTTAATTTTCTGTGGTTTTTGGTTTGTTTAGCAAAAATAAAAAACCCAGAGGTGATTAAATACTGCCAAATGAAAGCTCTATTTGTCTCAAAAAAATTATAAAAATTTCATATGTGTACAGTGTTGCATAACCGAGCAATTGTCATTCAAAGTGTGACAGCGCTGACAGCTGAAAATTGGCCTGGGCAGGAAAGGGGTATAAGTGCCCTGTAGGCGAGTGGTTAAAGACGGCTGCAAAGTATTAAAAATAACTAAACATAGCCCCTTTTTTAATCTCATCTTTTAGGCCCCGTACATTCCAGGACAGGAAAAGTAAACTTTTATGTACTGCGTCCCGCATGGAACAGATTAACAATGACCCAGGGGGGAGCCCTAGGGCATTCCCCCTTGTGCAGGATATTGACTGATACAAGTATGTGCAGGACTATAGACCCTAGAAAAATTAGGATATTCCATCTTACTATATTATCATAAGAGATAGAATGAAGGCCTACAGTCCATTGGGTGAGAAGGAGGCGCACAGCTAATAGTGTATACATTGTGACAGTATGAACTGCGAGGTGATCGATGGACGCTATGGCTCTGATTTACTAAGAATTGAGTCTACCAGCAGACTCTGAACATTCAGGCAGACTCAATTAAATCAATTAAGACCTGTCAGTCTTCTGAGAGGCTTCTAGCAATCTCATTGAAAAGCGTCTACTTACCTGTTAGTAAATGTGGAATCGCCTCTGGCACATTTTTAGGTGCAATACCAGATATGTTCGCTAGGTGGCGCACAAGCACGGGCTTTGTCTTGTTGGCGTTTTTCTGTTTGCATATGACAGTGATGGCGAACCTTTTTGAGCCCGAGTGCCCAAACTGCAACCAAAACCAACTTATTTCTTTCAAAGTGCCAACACTGCAATGAAACCTGAATATCGAGCTTTTGGTTTAGAAAAAACAACTCGTACAGTAGTGCAAACTAATTAACAGCTTTTGTCTTAAAAGAAAAACACAATGACAGAGCTTTCAATTATACAGTTTTTTTTTTATTGAAAAAAACATCAATTCTACATGTGCATGTATTTTTGGTTAAGAATGCATTTGCTTAGCACTGGTAAGGATGCATTTGCTGAGCACTGGTTAGAATGCTTTTGCTGAGCACTCGTAAGGATGCATTGCTGAAACTTGTATTGGGCCTTACTCTGGGTTCTTTCCCTGCTTCTACAGGTGTTGCATTAGTAAAAGTTAAAGTCAGCCTATATTAGGGTGAGCCAGATCAACAAGAAAACTAAACTTGCTTAACACAGAAACAACACCTAAACTTGTGTCTTGGACTGCATACACTACATTAGGTAAAAGTTGTCATTTGGCATGCTTTTGCACAATTAATGTTATTTTTGTTGTTGTATGGATGCTGATAATTTGTCAAACCTTGGCTCATACTCCGTTAGTTTGAGAGCAACACATACAGCACTCAGGTCATCTGTTAGTCTGTTTCTGGCATCACATTTGATATAATTCAAAGCTGAAAACAGCTGCTCACAAACATAAGATGACCCAAACAAAGTAAGAAAAGCAATCCCAAGTGCTTTCATTGACTTAAAATTATTTGGCAGAGAACTCCACACTTTAAGTATTTTATTTTCCGAACTACCAACTGTGCTGTCCTTTGTCATCCCTTCACACTCTATCTTCTCAAGTGTTGCACGCAGCTCAAAGAATTAATTTTTCCAGATAGAGCTTTCTTGAAATTCCAGTAGCTCCATTTCCAGATTTTCTAAATCTAACCAGAGTAAGCAGGAAAGATCAAGCTCTTCAAATTTGGCTTTATCTGGAGAAGTAAGAAAAACACAGGGTTGTCTCCATCTTACGGAACTGTAAAAATCTGTTACTAAAATTCTCCTTTGCAACTGCTACAATGCTAGAAAATTCCTTGTAGATTTCCTGATGGTTTTGTAGGATTGTCCGTAAATGTTGTAGAATTTTCCAATGCATTTTTAGATTTGGAAAATATTTCAGCTGCCCACTTTCAAGGTCTCTTTCAAAAACCTACAGTTTTCTCTCAAATGTTCTGATATCACAAAACATGCTTTCTGCTGTTTTCCCTAAACCTTGCAGTTTTTTGTTCAGTACATTGAAGTGTACTGTAAAATCAGTAAAAAACATGAGGTTGGTAAGCCAGGTCATATCAGTGAGCTGTGGATATTCCTGCCCCTTTTCATTCATAAACAGCCTAATTTCATCCAAGCAGGCTACAAATCTCTCCAGGACCTGTCCTCTGCTTAGCCACCGGACATTATTGTACATAAGTAAAGTATTATACTGTGCCTGTACCTCATCAAGAAGTGCTTCAAACTGTTGACAATTAAGAGCACGAGCCATGATGTAATTCTTTTTTTTTTTTTTTTTAATTTAAATATTTATTGATTTTCCAGTTTAAATACATATCATCATCACATTATATATATATAAAAAAATATAACATCATACTCTATTTTCCCTTTCCAAGAATATTTCTCTATCTCCCCCCCTCCTCCTCCCCCCCCCATCCCCGTCTCCCCTCCCTGCATTTTCTCTCAATCTTCTTATAAAAGCAAGTGAATTTTTTCCTATCTTACTCTTTATTGTTTCCTATATTTCGTGTATAATCTGGCTTTTTACTAATTCTCCCATTTCCCATAGTAGACCTCCAACTTATCTTTCTAAATATGGCAGAGTTTTTCCATTTTTCTAATCTGCTCCACTCTTTTCTATCCAGTCCTCCTCCTTCGGCACTTCCGCTTTCCGACATAACTTGGGTATCAGACCTTTTGCAGCGTTTAGATAGTACCATATGCCTGATTCTTTATATTTATTCACTGTTAAATCTATATTGTGCAAGATACATACTTCTGGGTCTAGCCCTATATCTATTTCAGTTATCATTTCTATCAAATGGAATATTGTCTTCCAAAATACTTGGATTTTTGGGCATCCCCACCATATATGGTATACCGTACCTACTCTCCACATCCCCTCCAACACAACGGTGAGTTCTCTCCACACATCCTATTTTCTACATTCGGTGTAATGTGCCATCAGGGGCGACTGACAATTCATGGGGCCCCGGGCAATAGGGGATCATGGGGCCCCTGTGTCCTTGCCCAAACTCAAAAAAGCCTGTGAAAAAGGTACCAGGGGCATCTCATGGGGCCCCCTACTGACCCCGGGCCCTCGGGCAGTGCCCGAGTTTCCAAATGGTCAGTCCGCCCCTGTGTGCCATCTTATCAAACACTTATAATTAATTTCTACTTCCCTCATAGAAATATTTTCGTGAGTTAATCTATATATTCTCCTCTGTTTTTCCTCATCTATCACAACTCACATATCAGTTTCCCATTTTGCTATATATGTTGGCTTTGTGTTTGTGTCTAGTTCAGTGAGTACTTTATAAATTTTAGCAATCCCATACTTTCCATCACCTCGTGTCCCCAATAGCTTTTCAAGCAAATTCCAGTTATCTCTTGTCCTTAGAGGTTTTGAAAGGTTCCCAACAAAACATCTCAATTGAAAATACCGCCGTTCATCTAATTTAGTGAAAATCTCTCCCTTTTTTTTTTCCAAATCCTTAAATGATCCTAGTTTACCCTCCACCAAAATATCTCTCAATTGAACCTCATCTTTTTAAACCACCTACCTCCTATCTCTTCTCTACCTGGGGGAAAAAACTCTGTGTTACTCAGTGGCATCAATGTTGAATTAAAATCCCATTTCATACTTTTGTGCAAATTATCCCAAATCCTTAAAACATTTAAAGTGTATGTACTTACATTATCTTTTAAACCCTGTACTGTGTTGGCACCCATATCACTCTACCTAAATTTGTTCCGCTGAGTTTGTTCTCAATTCTCACCTAACTTTTCTTATGGTTATACATCCAGTCTATAATTCTTGCCAGTATTACTGCTTTATAGTATCTTTTAAAGTCTGGAAGCCCCAGTCCACCTCTCTCTTTACTTCTACTCAACAACTCATAAGATACTCTTGGCTTTTTGTTCCTCCATATGTATCTTGTTATCATTTTCTTAATTACTTTAAAAAAGGCTTCTGGGAGTTTAATTGGGATCATTTGATATCTATATAAAATTTTAGGTACTATTACCATTTTTACCAGATTTATACGCCCTATCCATGTCAGGCCTCCTCCTTCCAATATTTTTAGTTCCTCTCTAATCTCGTTTATCAGTGAAATATAGTTTAGTTTATATAGATGTTTATATGAAGCTGTAAGTTTACTCCTAAATATTTTATATCTCTATCTTTCCATTTAAAAGGAAATTCATTTTGTATCTTTTCTTTTTCATTTTTTAAAATATATTTATATTTTAGAATCTCCGTTTTTGTTGGGTTGATCTTTAAATTTGACAATTCCCCATATTCCTTCAGTAGCTTCATTAAGTTTGGAAGTGTTATCCTGGGATTTCCTACATAGAACAACAAGTCATCCGCAAAGGCCGCAACTTTATGTTCTGTGTCATCTATCTGGATTCCCTTTACATCTCTATTCTGCCTTATCGTTGACAACAAAGGTTCCAGTGATAGAACATACAGCAATGGGGACAGTGGACATCCCTGTCTTGTTCCACTTGACATCTCAATGGGTTTCGACCTCTCCCCATTTACCACAATAACCGCAGAGGGGTATCTGTACAGCTTTCCTATCCACGCTCTCATTCTAGGCCCGATTCCCAGAGCTTCAAGAGTATCCATCGTGAATCTCCAGTCCACTCTGTCAAACGCTTTCTCAGCATCAATCGAGAGTAGCACTACCGGATCTTTTCCCTTTCTACTTTTTTGGACAAGCATCGGTGATCGTAGCCCATTATCTTTGCCCTCCCTCCCTGGAAAAAAACCAACTTAGTCCTCATGTATCCATTCGGGCATTAGTTCTTTCAATCTATTTGCTAAAACCTTTGCGTATAGCTTAGTGTCGGTATTCAATAATGAGATAGGTCTATAGCTCGAACACTGAGAGGCATCTTTTCCCTCTTTTTGAATAAGCACCACATGAGCTTGTAGCGATTCTCTTCTTACT